CTCACTGTATGACCTTTCTTGACAGAGTTGTTAAGTGAATCACTGCAGTGAAGAAAGTGAATACACCAGGTTGTTAAGTGAATCTGGCTTCCCCGCTGACTTTGCTTGTGAGAAGGTCACCAAAAGGGATCCCGTGATCTTCAGGCACAGCAACAGTTGTATGAACCAGTGGTCAAGTATCTGAATTTTGATCACACGATCATGGGGGATGCTGCAAAGGTGGTCACTGGTTGTAAGTCCCTTTCTTTTTTTCAGTGCTGTTGTAACTTTGAACGGTCATTAAATGAACTGTTAAGTCAAGGACTACCTATATATTTACGGAAGTGCCCAGTATATGTGGTGGACCGCAGGAGAGAAGCAGGTTAGATCATCAGTGAACAGAGTCATTGTGTGCGTTGTTAAAGCATTATTGTTTGCCCAAGGCCTACTTTGAATATGTGGCTGGAAAGTCCTTCTTCCCTGCAGTTGGAGGGAAAGCTCATCAAATGTGACTGTAACTTTGTCGCTTGTATCCTTACGATTTTATATTACTGTTTCCTAGTATGATTTGATTGCTTATTGTACCCTATGACTATCAGTAAGTGTCATACCTTATGATTCTTGACTCTTGACGAATGTATCTTTTCTTTTATGTACACTGAGAGCATTTGCACCAAAGACAAATTCCTTGTGTGTCCAATCTCACTTGGCCAATAAAATAATTCTATCCTATCCTATCCCATTCCATATTCCCTTTCCTTCCATTCTATTTCCATTCTATATTCCATTCCATTCCATATTCCATTCTATATTCCATTCCCTTCTATATTTTATTCCATTCCATTCTATATTCTATTCTATTCCATTCCATATTTTATTCCATTCTATATTCTATTCTATATTCTATATTCTATATTCTATATTCTATATTCTATATTCTATTCTATTCTATTCTATTCTATTCTATTCTATTCTATTCTATTATGTAAGCTATGATTTAGCAACACAAGTACAGGACAGAGGGTGTCCTTACAAAACATGGCTTATGTGGTGTGGAGACAATAACTTGGTCCTCAACACCAATAAGACCAAGGAGCTTATAGTGGATTATAGAAGGAACAGATCAGACCTCCAGCCCTTGCTTATCAATGAAGACCGAGTGGAGCAAGTGGCCAGTTTTAAGTTTCTGGGCGTTACCCTAAAAGAGGACCTGACCTGGGATGCTCACATTGCAGTCCTTGGTCAAAAGGGCCCAGCAGAGATTATACTACCTGAGACTTCTCAAGAAATAACAATTGAATGGGAAACTGTGTATAATAGTTTTTTTTCATTTTCATAGTCACAATGTACACTGAAGATGGTATTTAATTTTGTTGTATGAGGTGCAATGACAATAAAGTAAACTTATCTGAGGGACTGTCTCTTGCTGGTTACATCTACGCGACCCATCAGAATGGAAAGACAGGGAATGTTGCTGGTCCCATCCCTGAGGGAGATACACCTGGTGGGGTCCAGAAGAAGGGCCTTCTCCGTGGTGGCTCCCTTTCTCTGGAACATCATCCCCCCCAGAGATTAGAATGGCCCCCTCTCTAATACTCTTCCAGAAGGCGCTGAAGACTTTCACTCCGCCATAGCCTCCTTAAAATGGCTTCTCACTATTAACCTAGTTAATTCTTTTTTCCCCCCATCTGAAATGTGGAGGTTAACAGTACTGACTCATCCCATGATAACATGGCAGTGTGGGACTGGTGTTCAGCTGTGCATCTTACCATCTCAGCTGAATTTCACAAGACTGTACAGAGGATCAAAGGCATGACAACATCCTGAGCTCTATCAAGAAATTATTTATAATGTATAGAACTTCATTCAGCGCTATGTAACTATGATAGCAACAAGAGATCTTAATTCTTCCTGTTATGATAAGTATTGTATTCAACTCTTCTCAAAAAAATAAACATAAAAATCCAAGGACCCCATTTTAGGTTCCACAATACTGAACTTTTAACATAATCTTCATCCCTTTTTCCTTGTCAAGAACTTATTTCTGTCCTTTTAAAAAACAATAGACCCAACTATCCTTTCTAGCTTGAGAAAGAATTAAAACGTGCCAGATTCACAGCAAGGGAAGTTTGGAGAGATGCTCTCCTTCTCAGGTATGGAGTCAATTCTTTGATGATCACTTCATTTTGATTGATCAGCATGGTTGGTAAAATTAACATTGCCTTAAATATTATCTTTATAGAAACATACGGTTTCAAGATGCCTTGGAAGGCTTTTAATCTACCTTGCTGCTTAGGGCAGAAATCCTGATATCATCCTAGGCCAATGGTTGTCTAATCTTTTCTTGAAAGCCTCCAGTGATGGAATATCCACATCTCTAGAAGGCAAACTGTTTCAATTGCTTCATTGCTCTCATGGTCAAGAAAATTCCTCTTTATTCCAAGTTTGGCTCCCCCTCTGTTAAGCTTCCATCAATTTTTCTCCTTCGCCTCAGGCACTAGAGCAAATAAATCTACATTCTCTTCCCTGTGACAGCCTCTCAAACATCAGAAGAGTGTTATCATGTCTTCTTTCCTTTTCTTTTTCAGGTTAAACATGCCAAATGCAGTTCACGGAGGAACAATTTAATCCCCATGTTCTCAACACTATATCTTTATTCGTGCAGTCAAAAATGTACTGGTCCATTTGGAAGCTATAGCACAGGGCTAGTTTTATGTTCAGTCTATGGCAGAGGTCTCCAAACTTGGCAACTTTAAGACTTGTGGATTTCAACTCCCAGAATTCTCCAGCCAGCTATGCTATTCTGGGAGTTGAAGTCCACATGTCTTAAAGTTGTCAAGTTTGGGGACCCCTAGTCTATGGTCTGTCAGAATAGCCAGCTCCTTCTCATAAGATCTACTTCTAAGAGGTCTTTCTTCATTTAGAACGAGAAAGGATTTTGTTTTATTATACATGCCTTAAATGTTTTTTTTAACTATACCTGCCTTTTGTCTCTGTTCTTAGTACAGAATTTGTCTTTATAGGGGAGAAAAAAACCCTGTCAGATAAATGATGAAACTAGTAATAGTTTTCTGCTCTAGACTCAAATCAGACAAATAGCTCGATTCTTTCTCCTTGCAACATAAAGGAACCATGAGAATGAATTTGTATGACTCAAATTGTGCAAAGGAACAGGAAATGCAGTGGCAACCAACAATTTTAAAAATTAAGATTGATACAAGACGACAACAAGCTTCTATGCACTTGAAAAAGAAAACTAAACAAAGCCCTTTACAAATCTTATTTTAAGGGAAAATATGATCAAAAAAGCAATGTTACTTGACCACTCAGAGATAACTATGTAACTATAGCCAAATTTTTAAAATGTAAAATATTTCTCTGGCATTGTTAGATGACTTAACGAATGGTGCAACAGCATCACTTCCTGGACAGTCTGTCCTATTATCGCTAATTCTTCTTCCATGCCTTTTTGAATCCTTGTCTCAAAATATATACTGGTTATGGTTTTCTAACTTATAAAGGGGAAAAATATTGCTAGAATATACAAAGTAAATACAGCCTCCTTTATATCAAAGTTGAAACTTTTATGCCCAGACTATAGAGCTGTGAGAATTCAGTGAATTGCATAGCAGGCCAGGTGTATATAAGAAGGGTATTAATTTGCATAGCATTGCACACAGCAATAGCCCCGGGGGAAAAAAATAGCATTTTCTTGATGGGAATGATGCATTCAATTTTCAGACAACGTAGAGAGGCACATAACTTTTTAGATCATCTGAAATCTCAAGCAACCTTGCCATCTGGTAGCTCAAGCCAGCTTTTTACAATATAAAATCCCACTGATACCTATAACTGGTAGTTGAACTATAGTAAACAATGAAGACTGAAAACAACTCATTAAGGTTGTAGCTAAAGTTACATTGGTGTAAGAAATCACCCAGGGAAATATTTTGAACAATCTGAAAAGATACACGCACAAATATTTATTATCTAACTTATTTATATTTAACAATTGTGGAAAACGTAACTAATTTTCTGCTGCCACAAGTACACCAGATATTTTTTACAATCCTTATTGGCACAAATACATAGGTTTTTGTTTTTTTTAATGCTAATGAAATTCACCCTTCCTGGATCTGAGATGGCACAAGAAGCTTTTTCTTGGACGTGGACCAACACAGAGAATAGTCATTTGGCTGTTCTGGAAACCTGTAAATGAGATGGGGGTTTTTTTTCCCCTTTCCCCAGAAAAACGTTTTGAATTCTCACTGAATTTATCTTGGTATTGGCATGTTGATTTGATCTGCATTGGATCAATCAACGAAGCTCTGAAGCAAGTCATTTCCAATGCATGGAATTCACAGCCTCAAATTTTCAGATGGGTTTTATAAAAAAAAAAAAAGAGAGAGAAAATGCCATTAAACTGAGATCTTGAGGCTTTTCAAAAGGTACGAGATATTATATAGATTGCAGCAGTTTTACAAATGCATGCAGTGAGACTTCCCCCTAAGGCCCTGCCCCTTTATGAAACATCCTTTCTTTAACCATAGCCAGTTTTATGACGCCAGCTGACCAGAAAGAAAACGAGCCACAAAGCCCCTCCAAGTATCCCAAGTTTCTTTGTTAGCAGAGGCTCTGAATCCGTTCCTTCCACAGACAGCCCAAATGCAGGAAGAGATCCACACTCAGGACTGTTTCCTAAGGATGGCATCTATCATTGCGCCTAATATTATATCGCAGGAGCCCAATCACTAGCGAAGCAGCATAGAGGGATCATTATTTTGGCATTAGGAGAAGCTAAGAAAATACCCCTCCCTCCACACAGCCTGTGGCAATGCTTTGGGTCCTGTGAGCCCCCTTTCCACAACCCCGAATATCTGCCACGAGGATATAACGAACCACCCAGGAAATTCACCAAGCAAGCGACAATGCAGGAAACAGAAACCATTTTCGATTCTTATTGCAACATTTCACTCCTGACCCTGCGCTGGAAGGAAAAGCTAGGTTACTTTTCAACTCACCATGGTTTGTTGGGAAGCGTCAATCCAAGATTAGCAAGATCCCCTCCGGGGCTCCTCGGGTGGGATTTTTTTTATTTTTATTTTTGGCCCCAGCTCAGGTCATGGTTTCTCGGGAGGGCTTTCTTCCTCCATGAGGAAGAAAGAATTAAAAATAAAGGCCCCTTGAAAAAAGCTACCTTTTCCCTTAACCTGGAGGCTTTCAGGGACCCATCAGACAGGCGCAACAAGCAGCCAGGGGAAAAAAAAAAATAGGGATTATTGATTAAAAAAGCCTCCACTTGGCCCAGGGTTTCATTTTAAAAGGAGCCCATGCAATAAAAAAAGGGGGGGGAGATGGGAAAAGGGAAGGGGTCGGTCTATAGGGGGGCTCCTCCCATGGGTGGGTGGGGGAGCAGGGGCTGGGTCGAGGGGCCTCCAATAAGGGGGTGGGTCTTGGGGGGGCAGAATAACGGGATTTCTTGGGGAGGGGGCTCTGCTTGAAAGGCGGGCGGCACTGAAGGGGGTATCTGTCTTCTGGGGTAGAGGGTGGGGATGCCCTGCGCTTCGGAACCTCGTCGCCTGCCCCCTCTTGGCAACCGCCCCCCAAATCCGGACGGGCAACTTCCGCCTCTCCTCCTCCTTCTTCTTCCTCTCCGGCGGCGGGTGGTAGTGATGGGGGCGGTGGTGGTGGGGAATGGCCACGCCCACGCCACGCCCCCTTCGCGGGCTCGCCCTCCCTCCTTCCTTCCTCTCCGCCTGCCTGCCTGCCTGACTTCCGGAATCCAACCGCACCGGAAGAGACCCGCTTAGCCGGCCTCCCCGCGGGCGCGCGACTGGGTCTCTCTCTCTCTCTCTCTCTCTCTCTGCCGGAAGTGGCGGTGGCGCACGCGAAAGAGGGCGCGAGGACGCGGCTAACGCTCGCTCGCGAGGGGAAGCCCCGCCCCCAAACCTGTCCCTATCTCTTTCTCACTCACACATACATACCATCACCACACCCCTCCCTCCAGTGGGCATGCGTATTGGGTTCAACATTTTTTTTTCCCCGCCAAAATAGGGAGCGGGCCTTTTTCTCCTTTAGCCTCGACTTAATCGAGGGTTGTAATGAAGAATAATGAACAGAACGCATCTTTTAATGAAGGATTAAAATAAATATAGTGAAAAATTAATAAATGCATTCCTTTATTTAATAAATAGAAGTATTCGATGTTTTCGTTGATTCAATAAAATGGCATGTTTAATTAACGTCTAAAGTGACATTACAAATTGAATGTAAAATATCAACACTAAAATTAGTTAAAAATTAAAATATTAATAGCTTATCAGTTTAAATAACATTGCAGTATTATTAATGTTTTACATTGCACCTTAAGTAATATCTTACTGAGACCCAAAAAATATTGATTAAAATGTTAACTAAATCTCAATATTACAATATTACTAAGTATATTGATTAAAATTAGGTAAAATATTATTTAAATGCTAATGTACTTGTTTTAATAATATTGAATTATAAATTTATTATTTGAAATGTTATCAAAACTAAATATTTTTACTCATTAAAATATTGAGATATTTGATCAAAAATTAGCCTTGGGTTGAATGGAAACTGTTATGTTTGAGGCATGGGTTTAATGAACGGAGACCAGACTGTAAACCGTGAACTTCAGCTCTTTATTCACAAGCATAACAGAGACAAAAAACCCCCGGCTAGCAGTCACTCTTTTATAGCATAAGCTGCTATCCGGATAACCAATGGATAGCGTTATAGCGTTTGAATCTTGGCGCGGCCCGCCAACAGCCAATCAGATTGCTCGGAATGAACCAATCATAACTTGCCATTATATGGGCCCATAGGAAGTGCAGGATTACGATCCTGCTATGCAAATGAATCTTTATTAAATACATTTCTTTAGTTCACAACAGAAACCTGGGATGTCAACCAAATAAATGAATAAACAATAAGCAAGACTTCTCTAATGGGTCTTACAGGTAGTCCTCACTTAATGTCCCTAATTAGGACTGGCAACTCGGTCGCTAAACAGTATATTTACAACAAGGAACAAACAAATAAATAATAAAGATACACTAAAATTACTGCAGAGACTTAGACATTTTAAAAAAGCAAAGTCCTGCAAATAGTCTTCATGTATTTATAAATATCTGCCCGTATTTTTGACTGTGGAAAATGCCACAAAATTCAACTCACCTACTTTTGCCAAAAAATGAATGAACGAATGAATTCTTTATTGGCCAAGTGTGATTGGACACAAAAATAATGTGTCTTTAGTGCATATGCTCTCAGTATACATAAATGAAAAGTTACATTCGCCAAGAATCATAAGGTGCAACTCTTAATATACTCACAAAGGCTGAAAAACCTTGTCTTTTCAGCTAACCCAGAAGTCCCTTTTTAAAGCCTGTACACCCATTTTATTTATTGATTTATTTGTTTATTAAATGTATATGCTGTTCACCTCACCACCAAGCAACTCTTTTACAATGCACTTTGCTTTACTTAGAGTAAAAAAATAAACCTCTGGCCAAAATCAGATTCACAAACCAGATTCATACTTCCCAAGTTCACCCTTAATGACCCATGGGAAGACAAAACCTGTTATCCAGAAGCCACTAAAACCTGTTATCCAAGCCACTAAAACAGCAATTCAAAAATGTGCCGATAAGCAGATTTTAGCCCAGGATTATATGAAATCATAATTGCCCCTGGCAAATGCAGTATAAAAGGAACTGGAGGGTGATTTCATCAGAGACACCCTGGTGGTTGTTCCACAAACTGGGTTCAATTTGCAGCTGAGAAATGATGCAGATGCTGGTTTCACAGGAACTGCTAGGACTAAATCTTTGCATCCATTCCCCAAGGCAACTCGGAGAATAACTGCCAGGAAGGGTGTGAGAGAAATCAACCATATTGTTTAGGAGGTGGCCGTGATGGCAGGACTTTGTAGTTTTGCAGGCATGAAAATGTCACCAATTTCCCAGATAGAGAAGAACATCCTGTGCTGAACGCAGAGATTGAATCAGTATTCCCTCTCTCTTTTTTCCCCATTTTTTATGCTGGGACACACTTGGAATCTTAAGGCTGCTAAACTCTAATAAAATCCCTGAAATTCAGGAGAGAGAGAGAGAGAGAGAGAGAGAGAGAGAGAGAGAGAGAATATATACTTATATTTATACTTATACCTGTCATCTAATAATTGTTTGACAAAATAAATAAATAAATAATAAAATACTACTTAACACGAAGTCAGACTTTTGAAATGTTTGAGTCGCTGTGATTCTCTGACATTCCAAAGAAGAAAATAGCAAAAAGGATGGCAGAAAAACAACTGTTCATGGGGAAGCCACGGAGTTAAGTGAATTGCGTTCTGAGTAGGGCTACCAGGTCTAAGGGAGCCAGTTTGATGTAGTGGTTAAACATACAGAATAACAGAGTTGGAAGGGACCTTGGCTTGAAGGTCTTTTAATCCAACTTCCTGCTCAAGCAGGAGATCCTATACTATTCCGGACAAATGGCTGTGCCTTTCTTCTTAATAAACCTCCGTTGATGGAGCATCCACAACTTCTGGAGGAAAACTGTTTCACTGATTAATTGTTCTCATGGTCAGGAAATTTCTCCTTATTGGATTAGAAACTAGGAGACCAAGTTCTATAAGTAGTCCTCGATTTACAACTGTAATGGAATTTCTATCAATAAGTCATGATGGTCTTAGGTTGAGGCACCTATGTAACTGATCTTATTTTGTGACTTTTATTTGTGACAGTCATAAAGCGAGTCCATTCATTCCACTGGAAACCACCAATCGTGGTTGTCAATCATCACATGGCTATGGAATGATGCAATTTCTGCAAATAGTAACACCTCGCATGTTCTTGTTCCCGCAATCACCAGAGGTCAAGACTGACTCAACTGACTAACAACAACGAACAAGATGACCACAAGATGGTAGCAGTTTTCTGTGTCTCTTTACTGCCATGTAGTGGTACACTGATATTTTGCAATAATACTGTTGAGCTATTTTCCGCAACTGCTGCATAGTACTCCTGAAAAAGACCAAATTTTCTACCAGTCTTGTTGGCATGCCTATTTTCAGCTTCTGAGCCGTTATCTTGCTAAAGCTCCTGGATAAATTTACAGCATTTTTATAAGGATTCTCTCCAAATTGCATGATGAAAACTTCAAGTGGATCCATTAGAATCCAGACAAGCGAGTCATGAGGCTAAGAATAGGATTTAGAAAAAGCATCCAAAAGGATCAAAGGGGATAATTCTGGCTTGGCAATTAAAGACGATTTTGCAATGAAAAAGGATTATATTTTTTTTATAAACACTGAAGCATAAGTAGTCCAATCATTAAAAGCCTGGAGGAATATTCCATTAAAGAGAACATCCCTCAGTTGTTCTGGAAACTATTTAAAAATTAATCATCAGATGGACAACACCTTTTGTTGGCAAGAGTTTCAAATATGGTCTGGGAACAAGACTATCTGGCTTATTTTTAACAAAGCCATGTCAGGTTAAACCCCTAAACTATACAATTTTGGACTGCATAATCATGGTTCTCTTCCTTACCCTCTACAAGACATAAATAAGTCATTGATTTGTTGATTTGATATGATTTGTTTATTCCTGGCAATGTGTAAATTCAGCCATTATGAGTTAGAATCCATTATTCATGGCTCATTGTGCTCTCCTTGAATCCATTCAATGATGGTTAACTTAATAAACTGGCTAGATGAGTTGTATGAACCAGGTTGACCAGTCAACCAGACCTGTCCCACTCAACTGTTTTTGTGTAGACAACATTGAAGGAATCCCAGTCTGCAATCTTAATGCATCTAATGAATAAAGCTACTCTAAATTTGTGCAGTTATACATTGAATAATAATCAGGTGGTTCAAGATAGGGAAAAAAGCATTTTTCCAGAAAATATGTATGGTTAGGGGTGGAGGAATTGAAAAAGGCAAGATCACCTGCATGATCAAAGATCTGTCTCTGTTTTACACATATTGGATAAGTTTACAGAACACATGAAACACATGTGAAACACACAAAAAATGTGGTACCTTAATCTTATATTTGGTAATTGCAGCATGATTCCTCTGTGTTCAATGTTGGAAATATTCTCCAACGATAGTAAGAAGTTATGATTAGTGAAAGTCATGGAACTGGGCAAAATTAACAGCTCTCATTTAAAAAAAGGTATTGGTAAACTTCAACAATAACTGGAAACCTTTGGTGGCTTTTTGCAAGAAATGGGGGGGGGGAGGGAATTATGACGTGTGGATTTGATTATTGGTAAAAACTACTGATCGTTGGAAAAATTGATTCTATGATGCAGCCCTAAATTAAGGATTGGACTTAAGTTTTATTTCTAAATTTAAAAATAAATAAAATTTATTTTTATTTCTTAAGTTGGAAGTAACTTTCTTTTTATACTTTTGATTTTTTTATATAGTTTTTGTTTTCGGCACTCTATCTTTCTCTATTTGTTCTATCTATCCTTTTTGGCTATTTATGTTTATTTTTTATTTTTTTATGTTCTAAAAAAACTTAATAAAGTTATTTTTGTTTGATACAAGACCTCCATCTTATATCTCTGACTGTTCTCAGCTAAGATGGCAGCAGCCAGCTAATCTTGGCTGCTCTCAAAAGCCC